GCCACGCTGTGCAATCGGGATAACAGAAACCAGCGTCATGTCTGGCTATAGAGAGAGAATCTGGGTCCCACTCCCTGTGACTTAACCCCTGAAAATTCTCACTGCTTCCTTTTCCGCCTGAGAGCACCGCGGGGCTGGGTGCATGAGCTGAAGTGATTGAACTGGGGCCATGTGTTCCCAGGCAGATGCATGTAGGAAGTACAAGAAATCATAAGTTACTAATAGTCCCTCTCCAAAAGCTCAAGCAGTGAACAGCCAAGCTCCCCTACAGGTTATGATGCCTCGGGCCAATTTGCTACTTTAAAAAAGTGCCAGGCAAATGAACAGTATAAAAACAGAGAGACACACGGGTTTGGGGAGTGTTGTTTTTAAAACGCTGGAAGGACCATGGAAAATAGAAAGTATGAAACCTGGATAAGCAACAGAGCCCAGTGCACAAAAAATGCAGCTTCAAGCACTTTCCCTTTAAACATTTAGGTGAGCGTGGGGGGGGGAGATTGTGGCCCCCAGTTATTCACACACTTATCCGAGGTCTCTCACCTTTCAGTCCACAGCTCCCAGGATCATCTTTTGTTCCTGATCACAGAAAAAATAATCAGAGATACGGGATTTGTTGTTTCGATTCTGTGAGCTCAGTTCTCCTGTACAGGCACTGCCCTGATCTGGGCACAGCGTGGAGCCCTGCCCTGGTGGAACTCCATGTACGTCAGGGAAGTGCAGTGCCCCAGAGACTTTAAGAGTCCACTTGCTCTTCCACCCATGAAGGTGACAGCACATGTGCATATCCTCTGGCCAGTGTGGCGGGGAGGGGAGGACATAGTCCAGCCCATCCAGGGCCGGCGCAACCCATTAGGCGACCGAGGCGGTCACCTAGGGCACCACAATTTGGGGGGTGGTGACTGCAGCAGTATTTCAGCGGCGGGACCTTCCGACGCCTAGGGTGGCAGAAAAGCTGGCGGCACTCCTGATCCCACCACCTTTGTACAACGTTAGCAGCCCAGAGTCGCCCAAGCCCTGCAGGGTCCTTGTCCCTCTTGCATGGAAGCCTGAGAGCAGGAAAAGCGGGTTGCACAGGTACCTCCATCCCTTGCACTTGCACAATTGCCCAGAGGCTGGGCACATCTGGCCCTATGGTGATGGGCACTTTGGAAATAAGAGGTAAGGTATGGCCAAATTGAGGAATATGTAGAGGCGGGTAAGCTATATTGAGTGTGACACACTCAGGGATTTGCTACAATATAACTATGGTACCTGTTTCTAGCAATGGTGCTGCTGCCAGTGTAGACACGGCCCAGGCTTTTCATGACACGGTGCTAAAAACAGCTGAGCCCAGCCCTGTTGCTGGCCCACATGGAGGTGCCGTAATGGAGAATCTCAGGTCTGGGTTTTTACTACGTTGGGCCCCACTCTCGGGGAAGGTAAATGAGTGTGAGTCTAAATTGGTGTAAAGGGAGCTGGGAGTTGTGAGTTACACCAATTTAGACTCCCTTATTAGCCTCAGGGTAGGTCTATACTTCGATCTAGGGGTGTGATTCCCAGGTCAAGGAGACAGACCCACTAACTCTGATCACACTAAAATAGAACGTAGCTACAGCGGCGCGAGCGGCAGGAGTGACCAGCTGCCCTGAGTATGTGCCCATCTCAGACCATGGGCATGTATTCGGGGAGGTAGCCTCTCCCATCCCATGTGCAGCAGCAGCATGTGCTGCTCTCTATTATTAGCATGCTAACACAATCAGAGCTAGCACCTCCTCCAGCTGAATTAGGCTGGAAATCTCAAGGATGGAGGAAGTGCTCAGAATCGAGATTCCCTAGTGATCAGTTTTCCTCTTGGTTACCCCAATACAACCTTGTTGATTTCACGACGGTTATACACCATTGTAACTGAGAGGAGACCCTACCCCTCTGGGGTATGCATTGGGGAAATGTACCATGGAGGGAAGATGCAAATGGATTAAGAATCTCTCCTGCTATTTAATCACAGGCTGAATGAACAAAGTTGTTCTCTGCTCTTTGGTACTTTACCTCTTGCCCCTGGTGGTCCTCGTGCTCCAGGCCTCCCTGGTTCTCCTGGTGCTCCAGGAATCCCTGGAGGACCAGGCATTCCTACAAACAGAGGAGTCTCAGAATTAATATTTGACAGCTGTAAGTAGGGGATGATATTTTAGGGTTGAACAAGGGGGGTGGGGGGAAGGGCAGTTTCTACAGGTCACTCCCTAGTCCAGATTTCAAAAGTAGGGTTCGATTTTTCACTCTGCCCCTTTGGCGATGGCAATAGGAAGTGGGAATAGACCAGTACCTTGCCTGGCCCTAGCAAAATCTGCCATTTCCTCTGTGTCTACCACATTTGCAAATCAGCCCTCCTGTTCCCACAGTTCCTCACGGTGCTCTGGGCAGTACCATGACCCAGGGAGCATTTGCATCTGGTTGGCAGAGATCACTGGACGAAAAGGCTGAGGATACGGTACTATGATGGGATCTCTATGAGGGACTCCTCAGGACAGGGATCAAAGGAGGCAGAGTTAGGGTTGAGTGACTATGTTATGCAGAAAGTATCATCTTAGCTTCTGGTTAATTCCTGGTTTTCAAATCTATGTATTTTGGGGTTTTTTCTAATGCTAACTTCTCATAAAGGGGTGTGTAAGGGGACATCTGTCTCTCTCTGTCTATAAGGGCTTTATACTGCCACCCATCAGCACAGTATCTGAGCACATTCCAGGGCAGATCAATAGCGACAGCAAAGGAGGTGCACAGCTCAACAGGGAGGAG